GTGGTGGGGGTGGTGGTGGTGGTGGTGGTGGTGGTGGTGGTGGTGGTGGTGGAAGACAAGATAAACTGTCGCCGAGTTCTATAACATCGATCACAGGTATCCGACATCTGTAGCTGCAGGGTGGTCTTTCTGTCTTCCAAGTTGTAGTGGATTGGTTGGAAATGACAGGATAGTGAGCTCTACAGTGCACCTCGAAACCGCAGAAATGAGCTCCTTATATCCAGACCAGCAAGACAGTCTTGGCGACAAAAGAACCAACAGAAAGGAGGAGAAGGAAAGCAAGCGCAAGTGGTCGACTGATGCAAGTATTGCTGAGAATGTTGGATTTTAAGATGCCAAAAGGTGTCCTTTCGAGTCTCAGCAGCTTACGTATACTGATTCAACGGCGGAATTGTAGTATCAGGGCTTTTGTTGCTCGCATCGCTTTTCCGGATTGATTGAAATGTTTATTTTAATGTTTAGCTAATAAGGCTTGGATTCAGTCCAGTACTGGGACACCAATCACAATTAACAGCAGCTTTAGCTTTTTAGCTAGCCGAAGGTAGGCCCAAGCGCTAGGGAACCTGCGCAGGAATTAGTTGACTAATATTTCATGCAATAAAGAAAAAAACGCGCGATAACTGCGGCAACAATTGTATTACTCCGAGCATTCGGCTTCACACAGGAGGCCTTCTTCAGAGAAGATGAGAGAACAGCAGGCATTGGCATATTTTTGTAGTCCAGCCACGAGTAACTGGGGGTGGGAAAGGGGATAACATTCGCGATTGGTCCACGTTAACGCCGTTTCAACGTATTGTCTCCGCACTCGTCCTCGGCGTGGCAGGGTGCATGCCTGGACACGGACTGGGCCGTGCTTCTTGGTCACGCGAACGGAGGGCAGAATAACAGGGTGGTAAATCCACATGCCTGTCGGTGGAGTTGGAGTCTGACACCCAGACCTCCACTAGTTCTCGCCCCGTCTTGTTACTAGCGCATATCATTAGCGGTGTGCCCGTGAAGTCGAATTCGTGGCCTTCTTCCAGGGTGTGAACAGCGATCTGGGAAAGTGGGTCACCTTTTCGCACCGTCCGTTTGTGCTCCGTTATTTGCAAGCTAAGTCGTCGCCCGGTCTGCTCTGTATAATGGCAAGAACAGTCACGTCATGGCAATTGATAAACGACACCAGACACCAAACTGCTTACTGCTTTTTGACCGGTGTTATTTTTTTAAAAAAACGGAAGAAGCACAGTAGGAGTGTCCATTACAAAGACATTTGAAAACAGTGGTCTGTCACATAGGAGTGACTTCTACCGACCTATTCCAATCGCAGGATATTACCTACTTCCCTTGGAGTCTCGATGTACTTTCCACGCAAGAATTCGCATAACGGCGAGCAATCAACGATTACAAGGTGCTACAATCAAGGACAGGAATGTTTAAAATTAGCATTTGTGGTTTGTTTACTGCCGTAAGCTAACCATGCCCAAATCCCAGGGTATGAATACGCGGAACTTAAAGCCGGCCTCCTTAGTTGCTGAAATGTGTGCCCAGCATCAATGAAGGAGTCTGTGATTAGTAGTATGCCCGACTGCGGCCGGCAAGGCATGTTTTAATGCCTCAATGTCAGATTTTTGTTAGTTCACCTTCATTAAGGGAAGGTAAGCGAACGCCTTTTAATTCCCTATTCGTTACAATAGCATGGCAAAATAAAAGCGCCAGTTAGAAAGTAAAATGCTCCGGTTGGCAGCTCCGTGTCTTTCCTGCTTAGGATTTTGGTATGGATGACTTATGACGGTTTGCGTAAACAAGAAAGGACCATTTAATCCTTGTCCACTGTACCAATGAAAATCTATCAAACTGAATTCTAATCCAAAAAGTAGAATCCCTAATCCAATAAATGTCCGAGCTCCTTTTAATATTCATTCCTGATATTGCACAGAGGACCGATGTATGCGTTCATCTCCCACAGTTATTCTGGTTAACAGATTTTATAACCACTACACTTCCGCCGCAGGGCACGTCGTCTATCGCTGCCCCACTATGGTGGCCCGGCACAGGCGACTTACGTGTGAATGAGTCTACGGTG